TAAAACCTGTGCTTTTACGATCTTGAACTGGCTAAATGTTTCAGTTGTTCTATTCCTTACTTTAACAAGGATATTAACATTTTAACTATGATGCATATCTAAGATTAATGTATAACATTTTAATGATGATGCATATCTAAGACAAATGCATTCAGAAATAATGACAGACCAAAGTTTATCACCATTTTCCTGTACGTACCGATCAGGATATCATGCGACATCCTAGTATGTAACCTACTTTAAACAAATATAAATTGCACACAGATTTCGTGTATGAAGGACTAAAATATTGTAACTGATAAAATGGACAAAAGATTGGCCAATAGAAAGTAACAATTTAAAACACGTTTTCATTACGCTTTTCACTTTACAATTAAGATTACATTGATAGCGTTTGATTTTGTCAGTTTTTATGGACTTCCCTTTTTTGAATTTCCCTTGGAGTTTTTTGTTAAACTTTTTTGCATGTAATAGTCATTCTCCTTGGTCTTGAGGCAATATGATTCATTTGACTGTTACAAGCAACATTCTACGTGTATGAGTTAGAAAAAATTGTTGGCCCATTAAGGGTCGTGACACAATACATGATGAATGTTGGCAAGTAGAGGGAATACACTGAAGATCTTTTGTTTTACCAGCCGTACATGTGTACAATGTTTATATACGAAATAGATGAGTTATGTAGAAAGATAATATTTCGTCATATAGTTGTACCAATGTATATAGGCATTAGCCTTTTATCCTATCATCGCTGAAAACTTGGAAATACTTTACACAAGATGATAATTTAAAATGACTACTTTCTTAATTGTTAAATCGTCGAACTGTCCAAAACTAAACAAAATGATAGATCATAATAAAGAATCAACATTTAAGTATTGCATGATTTATTTGATTGATTTCAACATTAAAAGCTGTTGTGTTAAATCAACGTTGAATAGGAACTGATTGCTCATTCAATTTGAGTTTAACTCAAACAATTGTTAACAGATCTAGATGATGTTAATAGCTGCCTTAGAATGTTGCAAAAATGCAAGATTATTCCTAAGTCATATTGTTTGATTGGACCAAGACTATTCGATCAAGCATGGTGATTTTATTCAAACTCGAAAAAACTGAAGAAGGTTCAGCGAGTACCAGACGTTGTAACGTTCCCAACGAAAGGATGGTTCTAGATGCTGCGAAATCCATATGTCATAAATATGCTGCTCCCCCCCTTTCCCCCTGATAATAGTAACCTAAGATGATAAATTTTCAAAAAAGAACTATTTCTTAATTTTGAAATTTTATTCCCTATGTATATTATTACTTTTACATTGCATTTCGTTTCAAATGAAAGAAGTTTGCCTTATTAAAGCTTTCTTGAATATAGCAATATCTAGAATTAGTATGGTTTTAATCATTTTGCCTCATTTATTTTGTATAAAGACCATTATCTATTATATGGCCCATATTATTTCAGCAGAAAGTTACTATAGATGATGTCGATTCAGATCATAATGCATGAAATTACAACCTTAACGTGTCTTGAAAGATTTTCTTATCTGTTTTTATCTTTCTTCTTAAAGAAGGTTTTTGTATAATTATCATTCATATGCATGTTAAACGAGATCAGCTAGCAGAGGCACACAAGTTGTGCAACTGGAAATCCACCAATGTAAGGAAATGTTTGTTTATTATAAAACTGCAGCATTTTGATGATCAAATCTAATGTATTTGATAGTGAAATCCCTCTGGTTCTGAACTAGTCTGTGGGTTCGCGTGACTGGTGATGCATGCATATAAGAAGACGCTTATCATGTTAACACACACGATCTCGCTCCTTTTGAATTTCCCTCGGTTTTTTGTTTGTTATCTTGATTTATATCTTTTTCGTCGAATTATGAAATTTGAACATCGGTTAACAGTTGTTTCCCAAATGTTAAGTATTATTGTTTTCAACCAAGAATAAGAAATGTTCATCTGAGTTATGAATTATTCTTGAATCAGTAGATATTCAAAAATGGGGCATAGAAGGGTACAGAATGGAAATCTCAAAATTTTTATATTGTTGGAAATTCACTGTTGTTGCAAATAAAAAAGGGGAAAAGACCGTATACTTTACCGTTTGGTTGATGCTTTATCTAAAAACAACATCTCCGGTGTAGGGGTATAGGTATATAATTTGGATTAGCAGACACGCGTTTTGGTTTTGTGTATTTTTGTTTGTTTAAAGTGTTAAACCAGACATTAAAAATTGCGCATTTTCATTTGAAATCTTTTTTAAGAGACAATATTCAGAATTTTGATAACTAAACATACAAATACCAATATACTTGGTTTTTATTTGTTATGTTATATAAGATCAAGTGCTCTAGTGAATAAGTTTAGAAGTGAAGGTATCATATGGCGAACGGTATATGATTTTTGAACAATGAAAGAAACGCGACAGTATTTTTGTTTTTTCTACTTGATAGATGTTCTTAGTTTTGTTTCAGAACGCAACAACTAGCTATCTTCTCATTGTTGCAATTATCTTCGTCATTATCAATTCATTTCAGTGTTTACTATATCTGTAGGCGTTGTCTTGTAAAGGAACAAGATACAGTCTTCATGTCTCTTTTATTGTTGATTCTATTCAGTAAACATCTTAACATGATAAGAAGCGTAGTTGTAGATGGTCAAGGACTATTTTATAGAAGTAAAACTATTTATTTGAAATGGAAATTCTATAAAGTATTTTCTTGGGTAATAACTTCCTGATAGCCAAATAATCAAATTTCTGTGATTTATTTTGCGATTTTTTTTATTGAAGCTGAGCAAGTTTCTTTATGGAAAATTTAGTTCTGGAATCATGATTCTCTACGGGAATTATTGATTAACTTAAAGAAAGTATATCAATACAATAAGAAATTCGTTCATTTAATGTAAACTTCATTTACTTGCATATGGAATATTTTATTCCCTTATGACCTATATGGATAAAACCAACAATATTTTCAAAATCAACAAGGTTCCAGTGCTTGGCTATACCATTGTAAATCTTACCATGACGACAATTAACCGTTATTGTTTGGTTCCTTATGGCCCGTTGAGATTTGTTAAACTTTCAATCGTAGATAATTAGATACATTTATGTTTTAACATCCATTATAACCGCCAATTGATCAATGCATAGCTAAACTAAAGATATGTACAAAATAATGTATTTGTAATAACCTTTAAAATATGGATGGCGATTTGGCATCTAAGTAAAAAAAGCTAATTACATTAAGAATATACACAGTGTAAGTATAGTAAAGCACGACTCGCCTTTCGAATTACAAGTAAAACAATTTCGTTTACGATCAAATTAAATTCGTTGTGAAGAACTAAGAAGGCTTTAATCATAATGTTTTATTGATACTAAGTGTGCATTTAACATCAATTTATGGTGACAAGAATTTCAATAAATCAAAAAACCAAAACAGGGATATATAGTAGGGCAAGCACATACAGATAATATCAGTATAAGTAGTATTTAATGATTATTAATGCACAACTTGTTTCTAGGGGTTTTTTTTTGTTATTTGTCTGGTCTGTTTTGAATATAATGTGACCTGTCGATAACACTTATTTATCAATTTTAAGCATGGATTTATATAACCATCTTGTCAAAATGTCAATAAAAAATGTTTTCTGAAGTCTGGCAAGCTTTTTGAAAAGCATATAATTGAAGCTATTTACTTGAGTCCGATATCTCCGATAAAAAGTTAAATCACAAAAATACTGAACTCCGAGGAAAATTCAAAACGGAAAGTCCCTAATCAAATGGCAAAATCAAAAGCACAAACACATCAAACGAATGGACAACAACTGTCATATTCCTGACTTGGTACAGGCATTTTCTTATGTAGAAAATGGTGTTTTGAACCTGGTTTGATAGCGCTAAACCTCCCACTTGTGCGACGGTCGCATCAAATTCCATTATATTGACAACGATGCGTGAACAAAATGTCACAAATAGAGGTACAACAACAACACGAACCCCACCAAAACCTGGGGGTGATTTCAGGTGCTCCGGAATGGTAAGCAGATCCTGCTCCACATGTGGCACCCGTCGTGTTGCTCATGTTATTACAAAGCCGGTAAATAGGCTAATTCGGTAGGTCACATTCGTGAAAAGATATCAAAGAAGCGTTTAAAGATGCATGTATGACAATTGGCAGGTAAAGGAAATTCTTTTAGACGAAACTCGTGTCTGACGTACTAAATAATAAGCCCGGTAAATTTGATGAGCAAATAACTACTGCAATCTGAATCTAAATAATGCCTGACTCTAAAACTTGGAGGTTAAACAACATCCCCATAAAAATAAAAAACACTTTTTCTATGTTTTGGAGACTTGTATTTACAATGTAGCATAATTTATTTATGATTTTAACCTGAATTAACACCAATAATATTATGTTGATAACGAGATCATGTATACACGTAACAATACATAATCAGCATTCATTTAGAAAGACGCTTGGACATGTAATTTCACGTCCCTCCAAAGAAGAGCTTTTCACCAAATATGCACCTTAAAGAACACACTATACGTTTAAAAAGTTTATTTGAGGTAATATCTTGCGATGAAAATTGTTTAAACTTGTTCGTGAAGAAACAGTTAATGTCATTTTCCCAAATGATATCTTTTTTTTCACCACCTACAAAATCATAGCACAATATTTATCTAAAATACTTCGATGTGAATTGTTCTCATTCTATTAAAATGTAGCTGCAATATTGCAAACTAGATTTATCAACCAATTATTATAAGGGAGATACTGACACATTGTGTTGGTCACAAATTACTGTAATTTAGATAAATAAATAAAAAGGAACATAATATAAGAGCTTACAGTTGATGCTATATCTACTAATGCTTGCTTAACCCGAAAATATTAAACAAGAATATAAACACCTTATTTACTTAAATAAGACAAGACTTAAACACATATTTCTTCGTTATCATAAATCTATGTATTTATATTTACATTATCTCTTCTACAAGCTAATTGTGGCCGTTCTTTCAACAATCATTTTGTCAATACTGTGGTTGAAATCATTGCTCTTAAAAGAAAAGTTAAAATAATCATAATAACACTGTTTGAATTGATTAAATTCTATTACGTCCTTGGTTGTCCAGGTTAGTAAGGTTATCGTTAGTTTGGTTGTCTTTGTTAGAATTAAAATTAAGGTCGTTTCCTTTGAAAGGATTAACCTGTTCAGCATGTAAGTATTTGTTCTGACTGTTTTTGTTTTCTGCCGAAAGACTTTGCGATTGTTTTGTATTAAGATTTATTTATTATTAGTTATCACCGCATACATGCTTTGTACCATTTAAAATACATTTGAGTGTAGTGCTTTTCAAAGAACATTTGAAAGCATAGCTTAACTCTGAAAGCTTTAGTTCATCGTTGTAGACTTTCCCGACATTAACATCTCTTGAATATTACTATTCACAATTTTAGCTGACTAAGTTGACTCCTTAATTTGAAAATGGTCTTTTAATTGAATGATTTTATCATTTATTTTAGAAATATTCTCCAAGTTGATTTGGATAATACTTTGTCAAAATTTACTTAGTATAAAAAAGAAGATGTGGTATAATTGTCAATAAAACAACTCTCCACCAGAGACCAAATGACGAAGACGTTAACAACTATATGTCACCATACGGTCTTCCACAATGAGCAAAACCCATACTACATAGTCAGCTATAAAAGGATCCGAAATGACAAATGTCAATCAATTCAAACGAGAAAACTAACGGCCTGATTTATGTACAAAATAATGAACGAAAAACAAATATGATATATAGCAACAAATGACAACCACTGAATTACAGGATCATAACTTAGGACAGGGACAACCAGAATGTGGCGGGGTTAAACTTGTTTGATGGCGCCAACCCTTCCCCTAACCTGGGACAGTGGTGTAACAGTACAATATAAAAACAACCTATAAAAAATCAGTTGCGTATATACACAGTTAGTGTATGAAAGATGGCTACCGCTGTTGCTAATGGTTTTAATGTTGCATAAATTATTTTTACCTTGTGATCGATTCAGACTCCTGTGAGCCTCTCTTTTATATAATAGTTCAAAAACTTCAGAGTTTCTTTGCTACTTATTTTTTGTTATTGTATAGAATTAATAATACAATATAGATGATTTCGGAGTAATATTGCATCTTTCAGTTGGTCTTTAATCTTTTTGTTTCGAAACATTTTCAATCAGCTCTCTTCTTAAATAGCAAAAAACGAAAAGGGTTAGAAATCATTTATATTTATGAAAATAAGGAGATATGATATAATTGCCAATGAGACAACTATCAAATCACAAAGACTTAATAATTACAGGCCATCGTACGGCCTTCAAAAGTACAAAATTTATACTGTATAGTAAACTATAAAAGGTCCCGATATGACAAAATGAGAAACAATTCTAAAATATATTTACTGTATAGCGACATCATTTGATCAATGGCTTGGCCATCTTAGCTCGTCTGGGTCATGTAACTGTCCTTTAAAATTTTCATGTATTGAAAAGACCCTCCGGAAAACATCTTTTTTCGTGACTGTCATTTCTTGAAATATGCCATATCGAATAATCTGACACACAGTTTCTAGGTACTTTCTGTGTCTAAATGTGGTATTAGAATATACAAATTCCTTAAGAGTATGATTTTTCCTGAAAATAGCATACAGAAAAATATGGAAAGGCCATGTTGTTTATGTTTGCCTTTTGAACTTGAAAACAAAATCAAATTATAAATGTATCAATTGACCAGAACTCAAAATTTCTTTAGATAACGATATTGTTTGTTTTTTTAAATTGTGTATTTTGCTTTAGGGTTTAAATTTTTTCTCCATTTTATGAACAACCTTAAAATATCAAGGTATAATAGCCGATTTTTCTAGTATTGTATTCACTTACAGGTCATATTTAGAAATTTGTTAATATTAAAATAAGAAGATATGGTATATGATTGCCAATGAGACAACTCTCCACCAAAGACCAAATGATATTGACGTTAAAATAAAGGTAACCGTATGGCCTTCAGTAATGAGCAAAACCCATACCGCATAGTCCGCTATAAAATGGTCCCGAAATGACATATGTAAAATAATTCAAACGAGAAAACTAACGGCCTTATTTATGTACAATACAATATACAAAACCTATACTGAGATTTTAACATAAAAGAAGTCTATACAATTTATTATATATGATGAACATAAAACATTTTTTAACAATCATATATTTTTCATTAATTTAAAATGTTATTCAGCGGTAATGATGATATGATGAGCCTGGATTCAGTTTGGATATACCAGTCCTTAATACTCCTACCTCATAACATGTATGACTTCTACTGTACAAATATTACGGTTAAATAAAAGGTTAACTAGTATGAAATTGTCATATGCAGATAACACAAATATTATTTAAAAACGACAATGAAGACAATTAGGTTTAGATATATATTCAAATACTCCAAACGATAAGACCTAATAATAGCACAAAGTGCATGTCATTCCATTGTCTGTGCATGCACCGGATACGTGTTAGTGGTGGGGAAATTGGCACGAAACAAAAATATTTCGTAATATTCAAGAAATAAATAAATGATTCATAATAAAGTCAGCCGGCCCCTAAGCAAATATTTGTATTAGATCAATGAAAATGGACGTTATACTAAACTCAAAAACATATCAATGAACTAAAATTAAAAACATACAAGACAACAAAGGCCAGATGCTCCTGACTTTGGACAGGCGCAAAAAGGCGGCGGTGTTAGATTTAAACACGTTTTGAGAGATCTCAACCCTCCCCCTATACCTTGCACATTCAACAAAAATGAATAATATAAAGTTTTTTAAGGTGAAAGTTACCCAACAACTAATGGCGTTAACTTCTTATTCAATAATCCCATAAAAAACAAAATTTTAACTACATAGGCATGACTATAATATACATGTATACATAACTTTTTTGACAGTGTACGTTTAAAACGGACACAGTTAAATTAGACGGGAAAAAAATTAATGGAGTAACTTAGACTTACCTTAAAAACAAAGAAATAACTTACCATAACATCCATACAGATGAATATGCCGGTAAAAACAGGCCTCTAACTTAGTATTCGACGGTCGATAGGGGGCGACACATTAACTCTCAAAACATTAAGTGAAGTAACGGGAACAGAAGTCTCTGCATTCGGCTGCTCTTTACTTCGTACTTATTCGAAAGAACACGAGAGTAAGTGTAATTTTATGCGTGTCGTGATATAACATTTCATTTCCAATTCCAATATGTAAATATATTATTTTAATAGGAAAACTTAAACACAGAAACATTAATTAGTAAAATAAAAATATATAATATTAAGATAAGGTTAAATGGCGGTTGGTACGGAACTACAGGCAATCCTAAGCGGTAATTAGTCTTGCTTTCATTGAACTTTTAAGTATAATTAAAACACTTTAAACAGCACAAACGAATGAATACACGAATAACAATCTTAATCATATATAAAGACCAAAAGGGGTCACTAATTATGTGCATTGCAATTTAAGTAAAAAGTAAAAAAACAAAAATACCGAACTCCAAGGAAAGTTCAAAACGAAAAGTCCTTTATCAAATGGCAAAATTAAAATCTCAAAAATTTCAAACGAATGGAAAACAACTGTCATATTCCTGACTTGGTACAGGCATTTCCTTTGTGTAGAAAATGGTGGATTAAACCTGGTTTTATAGCTAGCTAAAAATCTCACTTGTATGACAGTCGCATAGAATTCCATTATACTGACAACAATGTGTGAGCTAAACAAACAAACATAAAAGGTAAAAATGTCAAAAATTGGGTAACAGCAGCCAACATTGTGTTACAATCTTAATCGTTATGAAAACAAATAACTATTTCAACAAAGAAAAACAAAATGGCATATTGACATTCTATAGACAAAGTACATGAGCAAAAAGGAAAGACAAGAATGCAAAAATGGCCATAGCACAATAAAACAATGGCGGGATTTATAAATACCGAGCCACGCCAAAAGTATATTATCAAAAAAGGACTTAACAGCTAAGGTTAAAAACATACAAGGACTTTGTGACGTTGATACGTATTATTTATCAACAAGGTCTTGGTATCTTCCAATGAACTTTTTTTAGAAAAAGGACGAGACGTTCTTTGACATAATCCTAGTTCATCAACTTTCTGCTCAGACACTGGTGACGTTATTAATATCGATTGAAATCATAATTAAATTCAGAGGGACAGATTCTCGATACTGGACATATATATCGGATGTTATAATAAATGATGTAGAGAGGCACACCACTAATTCTTGATCCCATTGCTTTCTATGTAAACTTCTTCAATTTCAAGCATTCATAGCTTTTTTGTCTTCAGCTTAAAAAAAGTTTCGAACTTGAAATCACCATTCATAAACCAAAAATTGAAATAAGTGTAAAAATGTAGTTATCTGAACCCAAACAAGAATTACTCAATTGATGCCAAATGTAATATTGCATCTTTCAGTTGGTCTTTAATCTTTTTGTTTCGAAACAATTTCAATCATCTCTCTTCTTAAATAGCGAAAAACGAAAAGGGCTAGAAATCATTCATATTTATGAAAATTAGGAGATATGATATAATTGCCAATGAGACAACTATCAAATCACAAAGGCTGAATAATTACAGGCCATCGTACGGCCTTCAAAAGTACAAAACTTATACTGTATAGTAAACTATAAAAGGTCCCGATATGACAAAATGAGAAACAATTCTAAAATATATATACTGTATAGCGACATCATTTGATCAATGGCCTTGGCCATTTAGCTCGTCTTGGTCATGTAACTGTCCTTTTAAATTTTAATGTATTGAAAAGACTCTTCGGAAAACATCTTTTTTCGTGACTGTCATTTCTGGAAATATGCCATATCGAATAATCTGACACACAGTTTCTAGGTACTTTCTGTGTTTAAATGTGGTATTAGAATATACAAATTCCATAAGAGTATGATTTTTCCTGAAAATAGCATAGAGAAAGTATGGTAAGGCCATGTTGTTTATGTTTGCCTTTTGAACTTGAAAACAGAAATCAAATTATAAATGTATCAATTAACCAGAACTCAAAATTTCTTTTAGATAACGGTATTGTTTGTTTTTTTTTAAATTGTGTATCTTGCTTTAGGGTTTAAATTTTTCCCCCATTTTATGAACAACCTTAAAACATCAAGGTATAATAGCCGATTTCTCAGGTATTGTATTCACTTACAGGTCATATTTACAAATGTGTTAATATTAAAATAAGAAGATATGGTATGATTGCCAATGAGACAACTCTCCACCAAAAACCAAATGATATTGACGTTAAAATAAAGGTAACCGTACGGCCTTTAGCAATGAGCAAAACCCATACCGCATAGTCAGCTATAAAATGGTCCCGAAATGACATATGTAAAATAATTCAAACGAGAAAACTAACGGCCTTATTTATGTACAATACAATAAACAAAGCCTATACTGAGATTTTAACATAAAAGAAGTCTATACAATTTATTGTATTCCACTGTTTAAACATATTGATAGTTTAATCAATATTTGATTGGTTGAGACTATCCCACGTGTCATTGAACAAATCTTCATATTCCATTCTTAGGATCATATTCCCCTCTGAAATGACGTGATTACTTCGTGCGACGTTACGCGCGGTTAATGTACATAACGTTTTGAACTTCTTATTTTTCTTAAAATAGCGATAGCAAAAATCCGTATCATGTTCAAATTTATTTCAGACGATAAAACAAAAAGACTTATAATTAAATTTTGATCCTTACTGTTTATCAATGGATATGGTTAGTTTGACTTACAAAAACAAGCGGATAAGAAAAAAATGTATGCAAAATAATATTTAATGTATTGATACTAGCCTAAACAATGCATATGCAGTGGAATAAAACATTTATTTCCCGTGCCGGAGGGAGATATGAAGATTTGCTCACCCTCGAAAAATCATATTTCCCTCGGGCAGAGCCCTCATGAAATATGAATATTCTTGGGTGAACAAATCTTCATATCTCCCTCCGGCACGGGAAATAAATGTATGATATATGATGAACATAAAACAATTTTTAACAATCATATAATTTTCATTAAAATCAAAAATGTTATTCAGCGGTAATGATGATATGATGAGCCTGGATTCAGTTTGGATATACCAGTCCTTAATACTCCAACCTCATAACATGTATGACTTTTACTGTACAAATATTACAGTTGAATAAAAGGTTAACTAGTATGAAATTGTCATATGCAGATAACACAAATATTATTTAAAAACAACAATGAAGACAATTAGGTTAAGATATATATTCAAATACTCCAAACGATAAGACCTAATAATAGCACAAAGTGCATGTCATTTCATTGTCTGTGCATGCACCGGATACATGTTAGTGGTGCGGAAATTTGCACGATACAAGAATATTTCGAGGCACACCACTAATTCTTGACCCCATTGCTTTCTATGTTAACTTCTTCAATTTCAAGCATTCATAGCTTTTTTGTCTTCATCTTAAAAAAAGTTTCGAACTTGAAATCACCATTCATAAACTAGAAATTGAAATAACGTGTAAAAATGTAGTTATCTGAACCCTTACAAGAATTACTCAATTGATGCCACATGTAGATTAGGATCTGCTTACCCTTCCGGAGCACCTGAGACCACCCCTAGTTTTGTTTTTAAGGTTCGTGTTGCTCTTGCTTTAGTAATAAGTGTTGTTCTGTGTGCTTTTAAATTTTTCAATGTTTGTGTTATACCGGTATTTTTCTCCATTCCAATCATCCATTGGACTAGATTTAAAAATAATCAATTGATACTGAATGGAATAAAGGCATTAATTATCTTTACTTCAATCGAAAAAAAATCGTTCAAACAAGCAGAACGTTTGCAAAATGTCTTATTAATTTGTGATACTTATTTAGACTTTATGTAAATTTGTAATATGGCATGCAGGATAATTAGTTCAAAGAGAAGGAAAGTTCACTAGCATAACCATTAACTATGCAACTTATGAATATTTACAATGTATGACATGCATCTGCTATTTACCAGTTACTGCATATAACTGGTTGTTTTTCTTCGCCGATTAGCTGCGATTAAATACAGGTGCACTTGATAGATTTTATCAAGGTTAAAGGTTACAAATAAATATTAATTTACATAAGAAGATCGTATTCATTAGTACTGCAGATATCAATACAGGTCATTAGTAACCAGATTAGATTAGTGATTTATTGCACAGGATATAATTTCATATACAATACTGTACAGTGCATTATAATTATGATTGTATTTCAAAAATGATTTGCTTAATAATGCAAGTCATTTAATAAAGCTAAACAGTGGAATGAAAACTTTAAAACTTTAATTATGTAAGCTTGAGATGTCCCGCATTTTCCTGTTGACTTTGTACGCACAAAATGTCTTTTCGAAACTATTTTATTGCCGTTGTCACAGAGGTAAATTAAAATCTATTATTTAGAGAATGCCAAGTTATTGTAAATAAAGACATACGTGTACATGAACAAGCGTCTTACCTATTTAAACCCTAAAGCATAGTACTCGTGTTAAAATTATTTTTATAAGTATTGTAATAATCACTTTGAATGAAGAGGGTCAAATAATGATAGGTTAACACATGAATGTATATCATAATGGTTAAAGGTGTAATCAGTATGGAATGCGATCAAATGTAAAAGAGAAAGACTAGAACTTCTTTCGTCGTTAATATAAATATTATTTCTTCTTTATTGAAAATTAATCTCGTTTATATTTTGGCAGTTAAATGACTATTACATTAAGATCATTTTCTTGTACTGAATATGTTTTATATTATCATGAATGATCGAACCTATCAGAATCAATTATATCGACGAATTACAAAGAATCATTTGTAACATAATCAACAATTAGCCGGATTTACCAGCAATCATTTTTTTTGTGAAAGGTGTGTATTGTAGCTCAAAAAGTGCTTGTTCAGGATTTAAGTATTTTCAAAGGTTCATATCGGACTAGACAGTTTAGTGTTATATCATTAACTTATTGTGATCGTTTTTAATTTAATTATTCCGAAGAATTTATTTGGATATAAGCATCTTACTTTATTTGAAATGCTCTTTATTCATACAAGTATGGAGTGCTAAAAATTACGTAAACGTAAGTATTTTTTCATTTAAAGAAGATGACTTCAAAAAACAAATTTAGGAAAGTTCTTAAGTAGAAATTCACTTCATGACTACAGCAGAGAACTACTCATAGAACAATACAGGAAACAAACTTAACAATCTGTCAGTACATTTTTGTAACTGCGATTACTCTTAGAGTGGTAGTCTTTTTGTTATTGTTTTTAATTGTGTGCTTTCATTCTGTTGAGTAATGCAAAGTGACACAGTTTGTTCATATGTTGTGTTGTTACACTTTCCAATTTAGGGGAGGGTTGAACACTCACAAACATGTTTTAACCCATTCTGTATGTTCCTTTACGAGTTGAATACCCTGTAAATCAGTGGTTGCCGTTGGTTGGTGTCTGTCATATTTGTTTTTTTGTTTATTGTTTTAGCTTAATTCATGTCATTGCTTTTCTCGTTTGAATTGTTTTACATTTTGTCATACCGGAACTTTCAATTCCCTACTATACGGTACAGGTTTTGCTCATTGTTGAAGACCGGTGACCTATCATAGTTGAATATATACACGACCTTTGCTCTCTTTCGGGTATATGTCAATCATACCAAACATCCTTATTTTTTATAGTGGTTCTTTTTGGAAATTTGTTAAGTATATCTTATGTATATACTACAGCTGACAGCTTTACTATATTACTCCATCTATTTAATTATTAACAACATTTTTTTATCAAATACTAAGCTACTTATCATTATAAATCTCTTTAAAATGAAATAATTGGATATGATATAATTCATATATTTAAAACTAATCATTTCTTTGTTCAAATTTGTCAAAAATTAATTAACTGACCAAGACAAATCGTTTCCTATTTCTAAATGCCTTGACTTTACGTATTGACCCACACCTGATCAATTACATGTTTAAATATGACTGGTAAAAGATTTAGAAGGTAAATATTTTTCTGTTGAAACCAGTCATTATAGTCGACCATTTATTGTAGAAATAATTAGTACATTTTATGTAAAAAAAAAAGGGGGGGGGGCTAAAGGGGCCAGTAAGTGTGTTGAAAGATTGTCAATAATAATTAATTCATTTTCATTTCTCGTAGTAACCGGTATTATAACATTTATTTACACAAGCTAAACGTCATAGAAAATCTAATTTATTGTAACTTCTGTATTCGATGCGTTTTCCAATTGCAAATAAATTTTTAAAGATTGTAAAGATTTGACTGCTCAGTGTGTTGTGTATCCAAACTGATTTAGTGGCAACATACTGCTGGAGAACAAACGTGCGTTAGAAACTGGCGAGTTTATTTCTAAAAAAAAATCAGTTAACAAAAGGTTAATGGATTTACTTCTAAAAATATAACATGTACAAATGTACAAAAGTTAGTACTCTACATATAACATGTACAAATGTACAAAAGTGTGGTTCGTTTTCAGAAACACTTAAAAGTTATAAAATGGTTTATCATTACTATTTCACCTGGAAGAACTGATACACAATTACGTTTAAAAATAGAAATAACAATACGAAGAATTTAATAGTAAACTTACAGATGATTTACCATAGAAGTCAGTTGATATTATCTTGATCAGATAACTTTGTGTTTATTTCAATATGAAAACATACACCGGCTATCCTTATTGACTGTTGGCGCTGGAGAGCAGATTGCTCCGATACTAAGTCGTCATTGACAAATCATTTTAAGTCCGTGAAATGAACAGTTAATGTCAATCACGATTTCCGCTGGAAGAATACAAATATGAATTGTTGATAACTATCCGAGGATCTGAAATAAATACAGACAACTATAAAGTTGTGAGCACGAATATAGTCTTATACGGATATAGCTTAATACTGGAATATGTCATACCTTAGTTATAGATAAACTGGTAAGAAATTAAGCAATAACATTTATGTAGCCCATAGGGCTTGATTTTTTACTTTTTTTTGTTTTTGTTTTTTTCATGAATCACTTTATTTTTGGCAAAGTCTATTAAATTCTTGTTTGTGTCTGATATATTTCTTGATCATTCAAGTTGACATGTTTCTTTGTTTATTTTATAGTAAAAATCTAACGAGACATTCATTCTTATTTTAATACGTTCTAGACATTAGTTTTCTTTAATTATTTAATAACGTATATGCTTGAACGTATATCCTGGGTCACACTTTAGAATGTATTTTTATAGAATGAAGATAACATTTCATATCAAATTCACAATTGTCATACTTGGAAGTGGTGGTAGTATAGATATGCAAGTTGTTCCTTCAAAACAACTTTGATGAAAACGTCTTGAATTAATTCTTAGCACATATTTAAATCTAAAAAGATTCAATTTTTGTGGTGTTGCATTAAATGCAGGACGTTTGAAGTTCTAATGCCAATATTCAAGACAACATTCGTAAATAAATGCTGATATTTGACTAACTGTTGTCTTATGAACATTTGAAGGATGTTATTCGGTAGATTAATTATTCTTTTTTTAGTTTTTTAATTCTATCCGGTATGATAAGTGATATGATCTTATCAAACCTTCTTCTTCATTTTTTGTTATTTCTGACTGAATTAGAGTTTGAATTATTCCATTGTTTACACCAAATACCTTATCAAAAAGTCACCCTCTATTGCAGGACACGACTTTGCATCGTTTTTGTACTAGACCGCCCCACCTACCCCCATTCTAAAATGAACCCATGAGTTTTTATTATAGCTTTGTTGTATAAGTGCACATTTATTAAAGTTTTTAATTGAGAAACCAAGCGCGCACTGGTATATCCCCTACCTTTAATATATGTTTTCAATATGGTTTCTTAAATTCCTCAGATCAGAACTTTTCATTTTACCAACGCTAATTCATAGACCAAAAGTTGCATCAATTATCTCGCGGTCAGTTCAAGGAGTCATGTGTTCAAACCAAAGACTTCAAAACTGACATAAGTTGCTTCAAAACACTGCATGCGGTATTTAGTAGGAATGTCAAAGACTTGTCGGCTCGGAATATTAATTGTGTTTAGGTGTGACATGTCTTCCTGACAATTTTTGCCTTGTGATCTAATATGCTGAAAATCCAATTTTGTGCGTATCAGTACAAGAATGGTATCTTAGTAACACATAACCATTTAACCCCCTTTATATGCATTAAATATTTACCACATGACGTTTAGCAGGTATCCATTTCTTAATTACTCAAATCTAGGTTCAGTTTTAGCAAGTGGCATTCTCACTTGCCCGTTGTCTTTTCACATTTGGACATAACTCTTTGTAAATACCAGTCTTAATGAAACTAAACATAGGTCATTACTTTTCACAAATGAATTGTTTCATATTTTTCATGTTGGGGCCTTTTATAGCCGACAATACGGTATGGGTTTTTCTCATTGTTGAAGGCCGTACGGTTGCCTATAATGGCTTGCATCCTTTTAATTTGAACTATGGTTGATAGTTGTCTCATTGGCAATCATACCTCATCTCCTTATTTTTATATAGCAGGAATAATGAAAATTACGATTTTTTTTATAAAACATCAATAATGCTATGCAATGGTTTCTTTACATCTGAGGGAGAATACCATTGTTATCATTTGCATGATCGAAAACAAAAATTTTCACTTTAAATTGTTCCACATTTTGTCATGTATACCTGACTATACGGTATGAGTTTTGCTCATTGTTGAAGGCCGTTCGGTGACCTAAAATTGTTTAAAATCACGTCAGTGTGGTTGATAGTAGTCTTATTTGCAATTATACCACATCTCCTTATTTTTATATTGTAGTAACCAATCTGCATAGTTAAAACGCAACACTTAATTTGAGCTGAAAACATACTTTCTGAAGAAAACATTTCCCCTTCTCTCTTTTTCTAAATGTGTTCCAAAAGGAACTACCATTTACAAATGTATTTAAAAGCAAGTCAAACTAATTTGTGTAATAAATAAAATTTTCCACATGAGCAAAAGGTTTGCCTTTAATCAATAAAATAGTATTCATACTTTATAGACATTTAGTTCATAAATAATATTTCAAATTTTGTCCAGCAGAGGTCAACATACAATTGTCAAAAATACATGTTCGGTTGTATATGCATCATGCTACCAGAAAACACTGATTTGTAAATGTTTATTGAAATACATTCGAAATGAATTAAGACGTAATGAAACTAAGAAATATGGAGCAAACACGTAAACAATGCAATCATGTTAACTAAGTACGGTTCTATGTTAGGCTGTCATTTCTAATAAACATACAAATATGTGGTCGATACATTTAAATAACTATGAAATTGCTGTGAAAATTGTATTAGATATGCCAATTCTTTTCTCAATTCTACTGATGGATTTGAAGTATAGTGTTGTCACTGGTTCATTCAAGAATGAAAATTGAAGACAAATTGAAAGATGTTAATACATCAAGAAATTATTGTATTCCTGTCATGTAAGATATAGGTAGATTAGTAACTGCGGTTTATTTACTGTCGTATATTGTCATGCTTAACACGATTTCACTAAATCTTTTAATAGGCTTGAAGTATATTTATTTCAATATGGATTTTCAGACAGATTTCAAGGCTATACGAAATGTGATCCACAGCTAGATTTTTTCAAGGTTTTAGATTTATAGCGATTGATTGTGATGAGGTGATACGACACTAAGTTGTATTATTCCCTTTGAAGGAATTTCCTTTTTTTTCCATCAGCAAAATTCAGAATCCTAAAGTTTTTTTTATTTTACATTCATGTTTTTAAGAGATTTAGATTTAGGTCAAAGAATGTACCAAGCTTAAACACATATTCTCTCTTTATATACAGTAAATAGAATACGTTAGAAATTTACCGACTAACGTATGATGCAAAATTAGCTGTCAAAACTATTTTGATGCATCATAAACGTGTCTAGTCATCAAGGATTAGTTTACGCTTTCGTGAATTAAGTTTTGAATTAGTTTCAACTTTTACACACTATCCGTATATACAATCATTTCTTTGATAAGTATCATAAGAACAGACTTGTAGAATGTCTTCGGTGATGACATAATGAACATTTAACTTTTTAAGTCAACAACTCCCGTTGACTTGATTTGAACTTTTCTAACTCACAATATTGACCTGGACTATTCACATGCGCCGGAACTTTCAAATTACATTTATTTATGTAGTCCTGCATGGTGTTGGTCTTTAGATTATAGGCATATACAATGTATTTCAAATACTGTTTACCCTGTAAAATGTCGGAAATAGACAATGTTTGTCCACATAAATTATTTTCCTGCTGTTGTTTTCATTTTTTTTAGAGGCGGGAACTAACGCTATCAATTTTGAAGAATATGGAGCTATGATTAACTTTGACGCCGAAAAAATATGGTTATTATTTTTTTTGTGTTGATCCACTTGCTTCTTTCCCCTTTGGTGTCGTCTGCCTCTTTAATGTTTTGTATTTTCCCTATTTTCCTAATGGTTATTAGGATGTTAACATATTAAATTTAGCTAAATTTAGAGTTCATAACATTTTTTTCATATTTACTTATATATTTTTCCGTAATCCATTTCTGAAATTCTTTCACTTGGTGATAGGAGTAACAGACTGTATATTCTTCAAATGCAAAACCGAAAATGGCGGAATGCTTTAATTTTAAGAACTTAAAAGTCTTTATCATATACATCAAACATGCCTCCTAAGATAACTAAAACTACCTCCAAAATGACCCAAAAAAATGTACAAAAGTTAGATATTGCCAGAGGGACCAAAATCTATAAGACGAAGAAAGACAGGCAACACCATGACAAAAAGAGGAAACGGTCAACAAACCATAATTACACACATTCATAAGATGAAGCAACACGAGCACCTCGGATGATCTAGAAGCAATTCCTGCTCCACTAGCGATATCCGTCATGCTAATTGTGTAGATATGTGATTCGTATTGTCAGTGAATTTGGAGAATTCACTTGTATAATACTAAGACATAACGTAATCCGTAAACCATCGGTACATGGAAATTTTCAAACTCTAAAAACCTAATTGCATGTGAAAGTATGAAATGAAATAACAATGTAAACAAAGGCATGACAGATATAAACAACAAAAACCTTTTAGAAATAAAATATCATAGACATCACATGATAATTTAAAAAAAGGAAAGCAACATAAACTCAACTTAAACCTATTGGTGAACTTCGGACGCTTCGGGGGGGGGGGTAGGATGTTCCTGTTTCGCTAAGTATAAAAATAAAAGAATTGAGGGGAAAGTTTCTGAAAGTCTAACATTTTAGTATCATGTTGATCACATAATGGCATAGAGTTTCAATTGTCGATTTCCGTTTGCTGAAATTGTGGGTAAAATACACTGCATCGTAGCACAGGGGAATTAATTAAAAAATAAATTGTACGACGAAAAAGAAATTTGTAAATAAAGATGCTAACATCGTATTATATTGTCTGAGTATTAATTAAACATTGGAATACTTTTAACGTTATTGGTTGATAGCAACATTGCTTTTCTTCCATAACTAATAGAATTATAACAGTATGTGCAACTTTGATAAGAAGATATATCTATCAAGGCTTAATTCTCAACGGTTCAGGACGTTTCATTAATGCCATAATGGGACTAAGCTGGAATTAATTGAGAGGTTCAACAAAAGTACATTATACTAATAAACTAGATAGAACAGTGCATATTTCCATTTTGTGCAATGGTCAACTAAGGTTACACTGGAGATATTTGGCAATAACCCATTAGCTACCAAAAATATCTCTTTGTGAATAAATGCCAACACTTGCTGTCTGGTCACTTGTTTGCTTTAAGTTACAACTCGAAAATTACAACAACAAAATTCCCTCATATCAAAATCTGTCTTTAATATGATTAAAATGTTATAAACTCAATTTAATT